AGAAGTAGTAAAGAGGCAAACTATCTGAGCCCGATTTCACCGGAGTAAGACGACCTCCAAATCATAGCGTCTTAGATTTCCAAGTCGAGAGCTTGTTGCCCACCCTATCCATAACAAGTTTCCATATCGCTTCAAAGACATATTTTCCCCCACCGGGACACCAAGGTAAGTGAACGGAAAGGAGGCCGCCTCACAAGCAAGAATATCCGCGCACCCGGAAACCTCTAAGTCAGTCACATCGATCCCGAAAACACGGGATTTATGGAAGTTCGGTTTAAGACCTGAAGCAACATGAAAACATCTAAGAATCCTCGCAAGATTGTTGAAGTTGGAATTAGACCAATCTACGACGAATATCGTATCATCCGCGTAAAAGAGATGAGATAAATAGGGCCCATTATTTGAGATTTGAATGTCATGGAAAAGCGCAGCATGACAGGTGGATTTCATGGCGGTGCTTAATCCCTCCATGGCAAGAATGAAAAGAAAATAGGAGAGAGGATCTCCCTGTCGAACTCCTTTAGTGATCTTAAACTCATCCGTCGGACAACCATTAATAAGGACCGAAGCCCTTGAAAATGAGAGACAACCCCTAATCCAAAAACACCACTTGTTCCCAAACCCCATATCAGAAAGCACATTATCCACATAATGGCAATTAACCGAATCAAACGCCTTATCGAAGTCAACTTTAAAAATAAAAGCTTTCTTCCCATGCTTTTTCGCCCAAGCCAAGATCTTGATGATGAGAGGAACGTCTAACATGTTGCGGTCTTCGATAAACCCTGTTTGAATATCGTCCACCAATGAGCTTATCACCCGCTTAATTCTATTTGCTAATGCCTTGGCAATAATCTTGTATAGACTCCCAATAAGACGAATGGGTCTATAATCATTAAGCGTAAGAGGATCCTTTATCTTTGGAACTAAGGAGATGAAAGAAGAACTAGAGCCCCTGGCAATCTGCCCACTTGCTTCAAAATATTTAATGAAATTGATAACATTAGTATGTGATGTGTGAGTTTATTTGTCTATGAGCAAATATGTACAAGGATGTTTTAGTCCTCACGATTCACCAAGTTCACAAGTTTTAATAGTTGAGCACGAGGAAGTCTATTATTGTAAAAAACTATGAGGGGTCAATGATTTGTCAAAATTCAAAAGACGTGTGCTTGTAAATATCGATTGAAAGTGTAAAATCATAAAAAAAGCTTTAAATCTTGTTGGGTGTCTTATAAACTTCATTGAAATATTTTTTTAAAGGGAAATTTTGTTTATATCTTTAGGAACTTTTAAAGTTTTAATATTACTTCTATATTTTTATAAATTCTAAAATTACACATATATTTTATTCAAACTAATATATATATATATATATATATATATATATATATATATATATATATATATATATATATATATATATATATATATATATATTCAAACTTATTATTTGACTAGGTTTAAATTAATTTAATATTAAAAAGGTAATCCAAAAATTAAAATTCCTTATTAAAGTACCCTTGCTAAATTAAATTAAAGAGTAGGAAACCAATTTAATTAGACCGTAGGGTGTGTCTATTTTCAATTTAATTTTTATTATACTTATGACTTTGGGTGGCCCAAATTTTCTTTTCACCCATGGTTCGCTATATATTTGGAGCGGCTTGTTCACTAAGCTCGCGAGCCAAAATGAGCCTATATATAATATAATTTATTATTATTTTTATATGTTAAAATAAAAACATATTTTAGGAATCAGGGAATTAAGGATTTAGGGTATTAATAAACGAGCTTCTTAACGACATCCAACCAAGATTAAGATTATTCAGGCTCGTCAAATAAAAAAACGAGCCGTGCTTATATAATTCTTCACGGGCTGGAGCCGAGCTCCGTACTATAAAACTCGAATCGAGTCGAGCTCGAGCTCAAGCCCCTGTTAACTTATATGATCCCAAACCGAACTTGGCCGTGCTCGGGCTGAGCTCGTTTCAACCCTGATCACAATCATACACAAGTTGTATTTGATTGTTACGAATTCCCCCAATCACGCTTATCCATTAAAGAGAATGGTGAATAGAAACCCATAATTGATCACTAGCTCGATAGCTTCTATTAGAATGATCTATTCACAAAAACCATAACGATATACTTTTGTAACTTTGTTTTGCTAAAATGATTTGAGAGACTCAATGCGGAATCCAGTAGACGAAGCCTTATAAAGCCTTAAATACTTTTGTCTATTCACTTAACTAAATTGATCAAGTAATAGACAATGATCATTGAGCCTGGAGAATGGCATTTTTAGCAGTGAAAATCATGGAAATCTAATTAAAAGCCTTATGTGATTCTGATTTGGTAAGTGCCTAGATACAATACATTTTGTAGGTGGGTTTGGCATATTTGTTGGACACTCGTTAATATCATGAAATTCTAAAAAACAATTGTATCAAGTAATGTTAGTAATCACAACTACAGCAACTCCTAAAAGATTTTGGAATTTCACATCATTCTTCTACATCTTTGGACATTTCATGAGCGTACAAACCATATACAAAATTGATCATCACTTCATTCGAGAAAAGGTTTCTAATAACTAGATCTATTTTTTTAGTTGGTTGCCATGTTTACAATGTCATAACCTTCTTCCATGTTTTTACCTTTTATGTTAACGACGTCTCTAAAAAACATTTATTCATCTAGTCTATCATGTGGGGGAATATTAGAGTGCAAGTGGTAATATCATAAGTTAATTCATGTTAGTTAAAGTTATTTGTGGTTTAATACATTTAGTTGAGCCTTGAGGTTAGTTAGTAAGCTAGTCGTTTACAGATTTCCTTCACATAATAATGCAATGTAGATGGTAATCATTTCATCTTAATAAAAAAATATTTCTCTCTAATTTTTCTATTTCACTCTGTTATAGATATATTTTACAAATCTAGAATTTAAATAAACCAGCAGTCCATCAAGTTAAATGAAAATTCTTTAATATCCGTTTGACTTTACAAGTAAAAACTATTTGTTATTTTTTCTATGAGGGTTTTGTAGTAGTCAAATCATTAGATAGAGATATTTTACAACTCTAGAATTTAAATAAATGAACATAGTCCATCAAGTTAAAAGAAAATTCTTTAGTATCTGTTTGACTTTACAAGTAAAAATTATTTGTTATTTTTTCTACGAGGGTTTTGTAGTAGTCTAATCCTTAGAGTGTCTATGTCAACAATTCAATCAAACCAAATTTTGTATTATAATATTATAATATTTTTAATCAATAATATTATTCTTAAAATTATAAAAAACATTAATATTTTGAATTTACACAAAAACAATAAAATTTAATTATTTATAATCAATATTGGACAATTATTTTATATTTGTATAGAAAAAAATTACAAAATATGATATATTTTATTCACTTTTGTTAAAAATGAATTCTTATGTTTAAGGTGACACATAACACATGAGTAATGCATAATTTTAGCAATATTCAGGAGTTGGAAGGAGCAAATTGTATGAATTCATTGACTTTATTTATTAAAAATTTTTATTGAAAATTTTATTGGATTGAGATGGGTAAGTGGATAACTTTTAAGACATTTTTAATAGTCAGCTTCCAAATGACTTATTACTTTTCCAAAATCATATTTATATTAACTTTTATCTTATAAAAATCTATTAAAAAATCTCATTCCTTTGTATATCCATCTATCTTCGACGTCTGTAAAAGCATATCATCTAGTTTATTACATTTTATTGTATGTTATATTTTGCAAATGAATATTATTTTACATAAATATTAATAAATAGTTATATATATAAATATGAGATTTTCTAAATATGTCCTTATGGATATAAGAATCATTTATTATGAGGAATATTACCCCATTTAATTATTGTAATATTTCTCATTAATACTTGTTCATTTATTATTATATATATTTGATAAGATATATAAAATAATAAACAACATAAATATATAATATTTTTTATTTTGTAAAAAGCTACAATAAATATTCTTAGTTGTCTCAATCAATTCATCTTAAATACAATACAAATTACATAAATTGTCCCCACAATTTGTTCTAATATGTAGATATCATCCTTATAAAGAGTTTTTCATTCGGAAGATCCCTGAGATTTGTTTTATTTCAACTGTAGCATCGGATCACATTAAAATGATTATTTGCCCTTAATGATATTTTTAAATTATTATTAAAACAATTAAGTCCACAACCCATTCCATTCCCTATCCTTTCCTAACTCGTATCTCGAAGATGACCAACATGAAACCCCACACCGTCCTATTGTTTTATTCCCTACGAAAAGGCTAGAAGAAAAACCTAAAACATATATTTCCATGGACCAAGTCATGTAGCCCAATGATGCATCAACTTTAAGTACAACTTTACCACAGTCAAATTCTATTTATTACCGATAACACGCAAAACATGGTAAAGATTAGGTTGCACCTGATGATATATATATATATATATATATATATATATATATATATATATATATATATATATATATATATATATATATACTCCATAGATCATAAAGAATAACAAAATATTACAAAGATCAATTTCACACAAAATAAGAAAAACACGATGTTGCATATGCTTTTGGGTCTTAATCGCCAACAAAAATAAACCCTGTTCTTCACCGATGCACTTCGAGAAGTCATCAAAGCCCATGTCAAACTCCAAGAACCCTAGCAGTTAATGTGTCTTAAATATCAATAGAACAAAGATTAACTTCTGAACTGTCTGAGTAGAAAAAAATAGCCAAGGACGAAAGTCGAAGATTATGCTAAACTACGGGGATGATTTGTGTAATTTACTATCTTACATTAGGAGTATTTAATGCATCTTAAATATTAGCATAGTGCACTATATCCTCTCTTGAGATAGATTGAGAACCCAACTTTCTATAAAAACCCAACTATTACAATTTACAAAATTAAGTTTCTTTTAAACTTGTCTTGTGCAATGTGTAGCCTCTTGATTTGTTTCATCTTAACATTTTCCATCCCTTCCATCACAAATGCTTGCTTCTTTACTCCAGAATGGAAGCTCTATATTATTAACGGCACTCCGGATAATATCATTATGCATATTAGATCAAAAGATGATGATCTCGGGAAACATAATGTCCCTTCAAATGGTTATTATGATTGGTCATTTTGTGATAGATTTGATGGCACCACAACATTTGATGCTGAGTTTTGGTGGGGTCAAACATATGATTGCTTGGAAGTGTTTGCTAAGCTTGCTCGAAGAAAGTGCGATAGGTTTGGATTTCGTGTTGAATATTGTTATTGGCTATTACGACCTGATGGATTTTATATATCTCCATTGAATGTATCATTCCCTGATCCATTATGGGCGTTTATTAAACCTTAGGGTTCAAGTGGAACGCTTTGTAGTATGCATATAGTATCTAATAAATCATGATGAAATTAATATATTTTGATAGTTAATCTTTATGAGGACATAGTGTGTTGATGCATTTATTTACTACAGTGAATGCTTTGCATCTCGTGTTTTTTTCTTTTTTTTTTCTTTTTTTTAAATCTTGTCATTAGGGTATTTTGATTTAATTAGTTTTTTTTAAACATTTATAACAAACATTTACGTCTTTAAAACATTAAACATATTCATTAGTTTTTGATCAAAATATATAAAAAGAAAGATGAGTTGACTAAAAAATATGCAAAGATTGAGAAATAACAAAGGATATTCACAAAATAACAAAATAACCATATGTGACATCTCGATTTTTACAACAATTTTAAAAAATTTTATTGATGCTTATTTAGAACAAAGTTTATTTAGAAATGCGTACTTTGGTCCTTGTAAAGTATTTCCGAAGAAATGTGTTTCATTGATTTTTAAAAGCTTGGAATGTCATAACTGATACAAAACATAAGTATAAACAGGCCTTACAGTATCTTAGACTAACTGTCTACATTTCCTTGAATCTCTCATCATTCATGTACCTTTGTACCGCTACCTTTGGTACAAAGAAGATGAGTGGGTTAGGTTGGGAACATGGTGAGTACATAGAATTTTCAAAACACAAATATTATAATTAATTTGTTAGAATTATATAATTCGCATAAACCCGATCACCCATTCCCGTTTTCTCACTTCTTGATCCTAACTGATAATCTCAAAGGATTTATCCTAAAAGGATCTCGAAGTGGCCTAGGTACGAATATTACTAAGTCTTAGTCTTATATTCGTGGCGACTAATGATAGTCTAGATTCATCACTAATCTCAATGTCTACATCAAGATCTATCAAGTAAGGAAGAACCACATAGGATCATATCGAAGGTAGGGCCTGTTTGGTATATAGAGTATACTATTTGGAAATCTCACTTTAAACACCTCACTAAATCCAGCCTAGATATCATCCCCGTAAGTAGATCAATCAGTATAATGACTTGGAATTACTGATAAATCTTATTCATAGGTCCATAATGATGAATAATGACTATAAATATAAGTTACATTGAAAGAAAAAGAGTGTTGCTTAACTTGAAAACTAGGAAAACGTGCAGACAACTCTACAAAACTGAAAACTTCTATTATGTTAGGCCCTCTGATGCTTCCAGGGCTCCGCTACAGACTCGTAAAACCCTTAAAGTCAAATTAGAGAAGAAGTGAGGTTTTGAGAGGAATATGTGACAAATGAGCATGAAAGTCGAGTATTTATATCCATCCATGAAAAGCACGTTGCACACGCTATCGGGGCGCACCACGCCTATGGTCGGCTGCGTTGGCTAGCCCCCTTCAGACGATGACACGTGTCGCAGCCCTATGAAGCCACGTCACCCCTTCTTGAAGGTCGCCACATGTCACGATTTTAGTAAGCAATGTGTTGGATTTTTGTGGTGCCGTGTCACCATGTCTCATGGAGAGAGTGGCTATCTGACAATGCCATGTGGCGCTACGAGGTGGTGCCACGTCATCAACCCAGGCAGTTTCTCGCAGATCTTCGGATGACCATACTTTTCGCATACGAGCTCCTTTTTTGGCGTTCTTTATATCCCCCTGAATCACTTGACAAGATCTACAACTTTAATTAAGGTCTCAACATCCAATTCTTACTTTAACAAAAATTAATATTTAGATCGGTTTAGACTGTTAAAGTCTGTGTGAAATTTATAACTTTTTCATAAGAACCCCGTTCTCGACTATCTTTATATCGACAGGTTCATATTCATGAGATCTTCAATTCTTTTTTAGATTGTTTCAACTAACAATCAACCGATTTGAATTTTGATTTCAGTGCCCGCACAGTTACGCTGAAACTTCGAAAATCATAATTTCCTCTCATGAAGTCAGATTTGGACGTTCTCTATATGCACGCTCTTGGTTTAACGACTACTATGAATTTCGTTTAGATCACTTAGGCTAAAAAGTAATTTATCAAAATTTCACTTTTTACGATATGCAGAGTCGTGTTGGGTTAATCGTAAAATTTCGAAGAAGCATAACTTCTCCATACGAAGTTGGATTCATCGTTCTTTATGGAATCCTTGTCACATATAATATGAATTTGGTTAAGATTATTTATCCAAAATAATCTTAAATCAGAAAGTCATTTTTCGCTTACTATTCTAATTGACTAACCCGAAGCTACAGGTGTTAGCTTTATCCACCCTCCCCCCTTAGGATGATTATGTCCCAGATTCATCAGCAAAATAAGGATTGTATATTGACTCCACACGTTACCTTTTCATCCTAGGTAATAACCGTAACTCATGTCTTTTTAAATGCATTTCTAACTCTTAGACTTCTTGACTGCTGGCAGTGCTCGATATTGCACCTGATCTTCCTTCTAAATTTGATCTTCATTTGACACTCCTGCTCCTTCTAGAATAGACTTAACCTAAATTAAGGTCTTTACTTCGAATACCGTAACAGACCGAACGACCATTCTCTAATTCCTTTTCATGATTCAAGTGTAAGTCATGTGCTTCCACTCTAATACCTTTCACACCTACTCATACTCGTCCCAAGTATTGCCTCTTAGTTTTCCAACTCACCACACAAGAAAATAATATAAAAACTTAACACATCGGATAATGTAACACAACTAAGGATTATATTTCTTCGTAAAAACTATTGTAGGGTTAATCAAGTTCATCCTACCCTTTGCCTCTCACATCAGGCTACATCATATAATACTATCAATATGAGATGTCTGCTTCCAATATTGTACTTTGGATACATAATTCCTCATTATTGATCTCCTGCATCGTCGTCTGCTCCATCAAGGAACAACTGGAACACTCTTGCCTTTGGATTTAGCAGCGCATTTGGTATTGCTACTTCGTTGGAAGTCATTCCTAAGATACCCTACTTCTCTATATTTGCAACACACGCTCTAGGTGTAGTTACTAGCGTAGTGACAAGTCTTTCCACAACTGAAGCAGGTCACTTCATTGGTGCATCTTCTGAAGTGTTTCTTCCTGCACTTCTCGCACCAATTTGCTTCATTGGTATTCCTAGACCTTTTGCTGTTAGGTCTAGACTCTGAAAATTTACTTTTATTTTCGGTCCTTAAAGATCCATCAAGATTCCTTTTCTCTCATGTCTCTGGTCTCTCTAGACCCTTCTCTCGTATCTGGGTCTCCACATTTCTAGCCGATCACATAGTTGCTTTCAGGGTAGTTGCTAGTTTCACAATTGGCCCATAATTTGTTGGTAGTCCACTAGCAAACTTATTCACCTTGGAAATCTCGATAGGAACCAGGTAAGGAACCAACTGCATCTTCTTAGTAAAAGCTGCAACATACTCGCTGACAGTTAGCCTTCCTTTCTTTAAGTTCTAGAATTCGTTGTTGATTTCCAAAAGATCTTGCTCGGAGCAGTGTTACATCTTTAGTTCCTAAAGGATGTCTTCCCAAGACATCTTCCCTGCCTCTCCCATCAGCATGGAGTTAGCTAACAATTTCCACCAGCTTAACACCCCCGTCTTCAGTTGTCTGACTACTAATACGGTCTTCTGTTGATTGATGTAGTCGCAACTCTCAAATACTATCTCTATCTCAGAGATCCAGTCTATAACCTCCACTAGTGTTGGGCTCCCAGATAGACTTAGAGGTTTGGTAGCCATGAAGTATTTGTACTTGCATTTATCCCTTTCAATCCCTTCGTTAGGTTTATTTCTTCTATCCACTCGTGGTCTCGCTTGACTAACAACCCGACTATAATTTCCATGCTCTGACTGATCCTCATTCAGCTCAGGTTGCACAACTAATGCAGTAGGTTCTCTTTTGTTTCCGCGAATGAGTTGTCTCATTTCTTCCTTTTGTTCGGCTAACAAAGCCCTAATCATTGCCATCGTGACATGTTTAACTATCGACACTGCTTCAAATGCACGTTCAATCACTTGAGGCTCATGCTAATGGTTTCCATTATCATTTCCCAATCCGCTTCGCGTTCTCACCATGATGTTCTGTACACCAAGGTAGAAGTTCAATGTACCGAGACGATTATATATATAGGGAAGGTTTTGTTGGATTAGGTGTCTAAGTTCATAACTATTTCTGGAATGTACTTGACCCGATTAGCATGGTCCATTTGGGTTGCATGGCATCATGCATT